TTTATTTTATGTCTGTTTTAATTTGTAGGACAACAGGTGAAAATGAACAGCTGGCTCACACTGGCACATTTACAAGATGTTCATTAATGTGTGATGTCTTTATAAAACAACAGTTGTATGACAAACTGAAATCAGAGAGTGTCCGGCATTTTTGTTTGGAGAATTGTCGGATAAAATTGAAAATCAAAAGTTTTAATTTCGATTTTCTGGAGAGATTTTCTAGCCTTAAATACTCATTTATATAAATAAGAACTGCCACAATATATTTAAGACCTAGTACAAAATACTTTAAGACTAAAAATTCACATTATATCATTTTAGATCTCTCACCTTCCTCTCAGTGCTTCTGAGGTCGGTCTCGGGTGGTTGTAGTTCGGTGGCTTCCTGTGAGGCCCGGCTCTGACCCTGGCTCCCACCGACGGCTCTGCTGATGCGCTCCACATGTAAAGTATGGCCCTTCACCCTGAAGCCATTCAGCTCTCTCGCAGCAGCCTCGGCAGGCTGGAGGCCGGTTACCGTCACTATGGCAACTCTGGAGACCGCAGCCAGCGAGAGGGTCAGTTCTTTCACTCACATTAACCATGTGGATAGTGAATGGCTGTTTTCACATCACTTTTCTAACTGAAACCGATGAATTAGGATTTGTGCAGCTGCTTTATGCAAAACACCATGAATCTGTAAATAATGTTGTGAGAGTAAAGTCACAAATAATAAAGTGTAAACTTCGGATGTTCTCGTGCAGCTCACCTCAGATCATTCTTTACATCAGAGATAATGACATCAGAGGGATGGTACTTCTGAAACCATGACATCACTTCACTCTGACAAAGATAAGACTTAGTTAAAGCCTGTGACGCCCCCTGCTGGCTGCAATGGTACCATACAAAGCATCACAGGGAATGGAAATGAATCCCAGTTATTTTTAATCGTGGCATTCATCATGTAGTTGGAGATGGTTCATTTTGTGTAGTGAGCTGCCGGACGTCACCTCTGTCACGTGTCTGGGAAGGTTAGCGACGCAGAGGACTGAGCTCTCAGCCTCCTCACAGGGACATTCTGTGGCTACAACAAAAAAATTAAAGTTCAGAATCCTCCAGACTTACAGCTGTAGAGCTTTAGCTACATTCACTAACCACTCACCATCAGTTTGACCTTCTGGGATCGTGGTGTTGTCCTGTCCGGTGTCAGCAGCTCCTGTGGGCTCCAGGTCCTCTTCAGCATCGAACCATGACTCGCTCATGTTGAGCTCTTTGCATGCAGCTCCTACCCAACCAAAGAATTCATCGGCGTATTGGTCATTACTTAAAAATGTGTGCAAGATGTTTTTTCTTACGGATCTGCTTTTCTTCCAGCTTGTTGGCATCATGGTCAGCACCTCCACTCCGGGGGACACAAGTGACAGCTCTCCTTGTTTTACTGTTCTGCTCCTTTTTCTCCTGAGTCTGACGATCGTGGGTTAAGATGGACTGAATGAAATAAAGCCAGTGTTTTGCATTAATAACCGTTAAACCCCAAATAAAGATGTGCAAGCTGACGACTAAACACCAAACAGAGACCAGTTAGGAGCAATGAGGCAACAACAAGCTGCTCACAGGTTTGTTATTAGTAGCACTGTTCTTTAACGTCTCGTTGTGCGTTCACATGGTGTCGGAATAATCAGAAATATTCATTCCAAACTGGGAAAATTCCCGTGATTAACTTTACTATCAGCTCTGAATAGTAGCTTCTAACGTGAACTTGTTAAACTTTTGTGTTTGTCTCTAAAAAGCCCCTGATTCCAGACCCTTTAGTCAGTAGTTTATGATTCATGTGCACTTTTTAAATGATTTATACGCCTGTCGCACCTTTTTGTTTGATTTTCATTATTATACAAATATTAGGAAGAGGTATCAGGGTATAGTTTAAATGCCCTTAACACATAAATACATACAAGCCGTTTACAGCGTCCATGATTTTTACAAGTTCCAACTTCAAAGCACAAGAACCCACTGAAGTCAGAATGACTTCACGACTTCGGACTTTCCAGGAGCCGTGAACGCAGTCAGTCTGTTAACGTACCTGGAAGCCGTCGCTGCTTTGATCACCAAGACGTCTATTTTCTTCAGCTAATGTTTTATACCCCTGTGGCTCCAGGGCGTTCCTTAAATTCAGATGAGACATCATTACAGCTGCCTGACTGTTGGATTACATCAGACACTCGTGCATTTAAGTTCTCACATACCGAGAAGGACGATCTTCCAGCACATCACCAATAATCTAAACAGAGACGTTAGATCATTGTTTTTACATCTGTGGTGAAAAAACATAAAACCACCAACAGTTGAAATCATTCTGACATCAGTGGGCTGGTGACTCTTACATGTGCAGGGATGTAGCTTGCTCCAGTAATAATCTTCTTTGAGTCAACACACAGAGGTTTAAGTTGCTCCAGAGGAACTCCCTCCAGGATCTTATCCCTCATGTGATTATAGTCGCACTCCAGTTTTTGCAGGACACCTGAAATGTTTGCAGGAGGCTCCTTCGGCCTAAAGAGGAAGGAGAATAATAAAAGGTTTGACCAACAACATCGATCCATTGTACTTTGGCTAATTCCATTCAGATACGTCTTCGTTTTAAAACTGAAAGCATTTTCGTTTGCCTTCATTCAAAACAAGTGTTCAACACACTCCTGTTTACATTTATATAAACATTTTGCTACACTTGTCCGGGCTGAATGCAACATACACATATCACCATAAACACTTACACACGCTAATCATGTGCATGCCGGTGTAAACAGGAAGCAGATTGTCTACTCTGACATTCGTTGTTTGGATACACAAAAGATAAACGTATTTCTGCCCGTCCACACCACAACACATCCCTGGAGTTGTGTTGGACCGCAGGCGTAAACGTAGAAACAGTTTAAAACTAAAACACAGTTGTAGTCTTTAAAACAGGTTATGAACTGACAGGTATTGATCCTTATCTCTGACTGTCGTAGTGAGCTGGTCTCCCTCAGCAGAGGTACAGTAGAGTCTCCAGCAGTGCTGTCTGCACATGAGGAGCTGCACGGCCAGGAGGCGCAGCTCTGCCTGCTGAGCACGCGCAACACAGTCACATCCCTTTCTCAATTTACAACCCAAACTGGAAAAGGAAAAATAATAGGATGAAAGACATTAGTGTTAACGCTGCGGAATAAATGTCTTCAGGTCAAAGCGTATTACAGATTACTGTGGAATTGTGTGTTTGGTACTTTACCTTCTTATTTTCTCTTTTTGTTCCTTTTGAGCTGCATTAAGTTTGATGAACTCCTGAAATGTTAAACAGAAGCTGTTTTAAGGTTTTTTCTGGTCTGATTCACAGGAAGTGTGTATAAAACATAAATCATTGTCTAACGCAGCACTGTTTTTAAAATGTTTACTTCCTGAAACAACCTCCACACTGAACAGTAGGGGCACCATCGCTGCAGGAGTGTTTTCCCCATAATGATATCAGGCGCATCCTAACACTGTGGAGAACATATTTCCAGTTCTATTATTATTATTGTCTTTATTAACAATTCAACCTTACCTCAGCAAGATAGTCCAGATCTGCCATGTGCACTTCAGTTATGACGTGCTTGTCTGCAGTTTGTGGATCCTCTGATTGGACGAAAGTTGAAACACGTGGTACAAACTCTGTGCCAACCATGACATCACAGGTGAGAACGCGATGCAGAGGGGAGGTGCAATTTTCAGAGGTGTCCTCCTTGGCTGGAGACGTCACAGTCTCACTGGTGTCTGACATTGCTTCACCATCAGTGGCGACCTGTGCTTGCGGTTCTTCGGGGGCCACAAAGACAAGGATGCTCATATCTTCCTCAATGATGCTGGGGGAGTCGTAATTCTGATCGTCGAAACTTAAGTTAGCCTCATCTGTGTTATCCAGACACGCCTCTTGTGTACCGGTTTCCTCGGCGGGGCCTAGAGAACAGCTGACTTGCTCCGAAGCTACTGATTGGACGCTCCTGTCACTGCGTTCTCCACCATCAACATCCTCACTGTCAGAGCTGCAGTGCTCAGAGGGAGACTTGTTAATATTTGATCTGTAACATGAAACAACATGGCTCATATCAATCTGACTTCAAATTGAACAATGAGATGAAACCATCAAAATATAAATACTCACTGTAATTGTCTGACTTCAGCACAGTTAGCATCAATGTTAGCATTCTGGTCCTGCATCACTGAAATGTGGCTCTTGAGCTCAGGATTTCCTCTCTGACCACTTCGCTCCAGCTCCATGTCCAGAGAGAAGCTCGCTAGTACTGCTGGATCCGTGCACACAGCCCCACAGCTGGGCATCTGCCATAATGGCCCGTCTTCATTCAGCCGGGTCAGTGGTGCACTCTTCAACAGAAAAAGTTAAAAGACTAAACTGATGTTTAAACATACAGGCAGAAAACTTCATGCCCTGTCTGTGTGTCGGGCTGGTACCTGTGTGATAGGGCTGTCATAGGCTGCATGCACCAGCGGTTTGCTGTGGCAGGTCACCTCATGTGGCTCTCGGGTGAAGTTCTTCCTCACGTTACTAGGAAGCATCTCTAGATGTGTGTGGGGCAGTTAACAGGGCAAAATGTTTAATGCAGCAGCTGCTGAATAAAGATCTGAGCTCACTGGATTAAAGAGCAGTTTAAAAAGTTCTAGACTAACATGTTTGTCACGGATTTCACACACACTGTCAAGACGAGGCTGGAGTTGTTGGCAAAACAAATTAAACACTTTAGGACACTACTCTGGTCATTTTCTTTACATCACGTGCGGCCCTCTCTCAACGCCACGAGTGCAATGCATGATGGTATATATTGCTCGTTTATCAGTTTACCATGCACTGTTATACAGTCTATGACCCAGAGCAAGACTTACATGCTGCTTGAATTGCAAGGGTCTCTGTTTGACAAGCTCATGTCTCACTGGAATACTCCTTCAGTATGTGTGACCTGAGCTACAGTACCTGTCCATCCATCACTACCAGTGACTTGAGTGAGAAAATCTGAATTATGCATTTGGAATCTCAGAGGTTTCATATTTGTCATCGTCGTGCGTGTGTGAGATTTGCATTTTACCACATCTGGTCTTCTTTGCTCCTGTTTTATATCTAAGGAATAAAAGATGTTCAACAGTAAATCACAGTAAAATGATGGATCCTTGACTTGTGTGTTATCAATTCACTGGATTTAATGTGGCTAACATACATGTGTTGGTTGCATGTGATGGCTGGATGGACAGGAATGATCCTCCCACTGTTATCTGCTTTTGTTATAAAACAAAACATTGATTATATGCATGTGTTGAAGAGTTACTAGAATGTGATGGGCTCTTCATAGACTTACACTTCACATAAACATGATGTGTAGACAGTTCTAACGCAGGGTGTCTTTGAAGAAACTGGTGAAACCCTCCTTCATCTACAAGAGAGAACAAATTCAACTTAATTTAAATTTTTAAACTTTTCATTGCTCATGTTTTAGCCCTTCTTCCTCATTCAACTCACACATTCACATCCAACAGGTCCAGGATATTTTCATCTATTTTTAAAATGGCAAACATAAATTAAACCGATGATTGAGTCGTACTCTCTCAAACATACCCAGTATGATCTTTCTGTCCTCCGGGGCCAAACCGAGATACCAGCCCAGCAGCTTCTGGTCAGTTAGCGACAGGTAGAGATGAGCGTCCACCAGGTCGAACACTGACCTGCAGGGTGATGAGGGGAAGCTGTCAGTCAGCTGATCAGTGTTTTCAGTTTATACAAGCTGACTTAAAGAAGCAGTTGTGTTACCTTTCCAACAGGAACTTCCTTCTCTCTTCTGTTGATGGAGACAGAGACATGAATGAAGTGTCGACAGCAGGACCTTGATCATGGGGACATTTTTAAACTGGGTCCTTTTAGAAACTCGACCATTGTACGGATTCAAACCTCCAAACCCACCGTACGGATTCAAACCTCCAAACCCACCGTACGGATTCAAACCTCCAAACCCACTGTACGGATTCAAACCTCCAAACTCACTGTACGGATTAAACCTCCAAACTCACTGTAAGGATTCAAACTTCAAACCCACTGTACGGATTCAAACCTCTCGGCAGACACCACTGTCACCTCTTGTGTTTTTCTGACCACACCTTTGGTTTACATGCTGTTTCATCTGTACTATGTGTCACAACTGTATTTAGTTTTTCTCCAGGTGGACTCACTGGGACACGGTTTTATATGCACGGTTCTCTCCTCGGGGGACTTACTGGGACACGGTTTTATATGCACGGTTCTCTCCGGGGGGACTAACTGGGACATGGTTTTATATGGACGGTTCTCTCCCGGGGGACTTACTGGGACACGGTTTTATTTGGACGGTTCTCTCCCGGGGGACTTACTGGGACACGGTTTCTCGATCACCGCGTCGTAGAGAATCGGGATCACGCCCGCGTAGCTCTGCCCGGGGAGGAGCAGCTCACCGGGGAGAGTCAGCGGGAAACACGGCCACACTGTCTGGAAACACACATTAACACAAACACACACACACACACA